AAAGATCATGAACTACTATATCAGCAAAAAGAAGATGATTGGGCAAAGATAATATTATGAATTTAAGGAAAATAAATTACAAGAAGACCAAAAAGGAACAATCGGAAACCAAGAAAAGATGGACACAGTGAGCCAATTGAAATCAAGTATAACATTTGGGGGTCGCTACGCAAGAGGAAGCCATAGATTTGGCATTAGGGATAGAAGAGCGATAGAAACGGTGGTGACTGTTTCTAGTTAGCTAATAGTAGACAAGTTTGTTTATAGACGTGGTCCATGAAATAAAGGCTTCACCCAGAGATTTATTCGATGCACGTGTCGTTCAGTGATAAGGGAATATGCGGAGTCAAGTTAGGTTGCCAAGCCAATTGAGAATCAAAACTTTTGGGGGCTTGCTCAATGAGGCTGGTGTATATGTGCTATGAAAGGTTTGATGAAGAGCGTAAAACATAACGCCTTGAGTAGCACGGATAAGATGGCAGCGATGGCATCAAATCACTGAAACAGGCAGATGAGGGAAGGATCCTACGGAGCAAGAGGGGGATTCTGATAAGACCCGAAGGGAGATGATTGCGGATTAAGCCGCAGCCTTGGATCAAAATTCCTGACACGGTAGGAGGAATGTGGAAACCAACGGGAGTGTGAATAGGTTTCATATAAGTTTATATAGGCAAGAAATTGTCATATTGAAGGGGTCATACAAGGATATAGGATAGGTGAATAGCCCAGAACAGAAGGAGAGATACTACAACTGTTTAACCCACCTTTGGTCAAAGGATCTACTTCACTTGTCTCTTTGAAAAGTTGCAGTATGTTGCTAAGAATGGTAAGGCTCATTCACGATGTTGATTACGATGCCGGCGAAACGTCGGACCAAGTCCACGGTCCGACTTTGGAAATCATTATGCATACTATGTACTCTGGACTAGGTGCGTTCATCTAGGTCTTCCTACCAAAACATGTCAAGTTATGAGAATAGTATGAAACTAAGAATACCTGAAGAATTTCAGCTGCGACTTTATGCATTCATAGAAGTATATATATATATATATATATGGTATGGATGTATGATTAAGGTTATATAGAGGACTCATAGAAAGAGAAATTTGGCTAATATTATAGTAGATCTCAGTGAAATATAGGTGGTTGTTCCGGGAAAAAATAGCAGCGAATTCATAAATAATCCATGACGTCAAAAAGAAATACGAAAATTTATCAAGAAGGCTGAATGGAAAACGATGAATGGAATCGAAGTAAAATGATACAAAAAGTCAGAGTTTGGTAATAATCAGCACTTTAAGATAGGATAGAATGAAGAAACGTCGAATCTGCCTGCGAATATCACATGCTTGCCAATAGATTGTGGCTTGCTTAATAACCTACGAGGATAGCATAAAGGGTTTTGGCCGAGGAACTAGGCAGCGAAGACGCAGGCCCCCATCAGCGGCTGAGCTGATTAGCCGGCAAGCAAGAGCTGTGGCGCCGGTACGAAGGCGTTCATCGGCCGACTCGCCAGTAAGTGGGATCTGCGACGTCTTTGCCGTAGCCGATGGCGTTAGCCTTTCAAGACGGAGACCGGCTCCGGGAATGGTCGGGAGGAGAGCGAGCTCAGAAATTCCTGGGTTACTCGCGGCCACAACCACGGCTGACTGGTGGCCTCGGAAAAGGGCAGCAGCAGCGACAGCCGCTGTGGGCCGAGTCTGTTGCAAATCGGCCCGAAAGCTGGATATCAATTCGTGATCGGATAGACGCCAGACCTGCAGATTAGCCGAAATAAAATATATGAAGGTGGCATGCTTTAACAAGGATACTAATACAAGATATAGTACATAAGGCACAAAATGAGCGTTATTCCTTTCAACATATGTTCAGTATAAGTGTCAGTAATCATATTTAGGTGATGCATAGGGTTTTACTTTGGTTTGATGTGAAGTGAGCTAAGGTTGTATTTATTTATCTATTACCTCAGGAAAATATAAAAAATAGTTGCAAACTATATGTTAAAAATAATTAAGCATAGTGTTTTACAAGTTGACCATAGCAATATTATTTTACAGATAATTTTAAAACCTACTCATTCGCAAAGTATTATGCTATTTAATATCTCAGCCTCCATGAAGACAAATACACTTTAATCTACAACTTCAAGAAAAATAACGCTTTCATCCTGCGCCACTAACTAGTCAGAATACAATTTATTCCTTTATCAGTGATGGAAAACTTTGTTCTCAGTAAATTATGTAAGATAAGTAGAAGTAGAGATGAGTTAAAGCCAAATCTAGTAAAGAAAGAGGGAACGAAAATAATTGAGAATCTGGTTTCTTTAATTCAGTCGCAAGAATAAAAGCCTTGAGAGAAGCGCATCCTTTCTTTAATCCCAAATAAAGGAATGCAATTGACCTTCCTGCTAATCCTGTCATTGAAACAATATTTCTTGCAAATAAGTGATAAATTACATTTATGTATTAGTTTGTGCAATTACTTGTCACAAAATATTGTTATTCTATTTCATAGAATATATGAATTAAATTTGGATTTCTAATAATCCTTTGATAATTTAATGATAATCAATTTATTAAGTTGAAAGAGATGATAGTTGAAAATAAGGCGTGAGTCGGCCCTGATGATGTCTTAGCATGACAGACAGAAGCAGAGCATAGATTCATTCAGGTCACAGGACGGTTCATCAAGGGCCTCCTTGCACAATCCCAAAATCCCAAATCAGTCTTTCGGTTTCCATAAGGCCATTTTACGAATCCATCTCAACCATCTTATTTATCAAAATGTAAAGTCGAGTCACATTCAAATGCACAGCGAAAGAATATGTGAATAAAGAGCATCCCAGAGTTCGTAGTATAACCGTATAAAATTCTCACCGATGAGATCCGTGCGAAAAATGTAGTTCAGCTTCCTGTGACTTATTTTTTACGAAAGAAATACAAGTTACTTTAAAAAGCATTAAGCCCAAAACATAAAAAACTAGCTATTGAATAGCCCAAGCAGTTGAGGTACATTGGCAAAAATAATTACAGAAACAATGCCATCCTCAGTTCGTTTGAAATCGTGCAAAAAAACTTGCTAACCGGTCTTAAAAGAAAATTTTTAGAGTCTGCTGCATATCTAAGCAGATCTTCATTAGAACTGCCACAAGCTTTAGGACACCTTCCCACCATACAGGTGAGACCACACAGGCATTCCCTCTTTCAGAATAACATTTGTTCAGGGAAATCGGTCATGAAAAAATGAAAGAACCAAACACAGCTCCAAATTCTATTTAATTGAAATAAATCGTTCAAGTATAGGTCAACTTTCATATTTCACCTGACCAATTAAGGTGATGAATGAGAAAGTGGACAAACCTAAGGCAGGTTGGGTAAAAATAAAATGCTGACTATAAAAAAGTTTATTCAGTTAATCACCACAGACTTGGATAAATTAATATACAAAAATTTAATATCAATTGGTCACTTATAGAACCAATGCTTTAGATGATGAAAATAAAAAAATAATTTTGGGTAAGAGTTCCAGCTTCGATACTTATTCG